TAAAGTTTTCTTAATTTTAATACAGGGTCTTCTAAAATAAGTGTTATTATTTTTAATTACTGTAATATGTTAATTATTATTCAAGAAGTATGCAACATACACCATCAATAGAATAACTATCTGAGTTTTGTTTCTACATTCAAACATCTTGTCTATCTTTAGGAAGTGTCATAAATGAAAATTGTGACTCCTCAACAGAGAAGGGGTGTTTTGCATTTTGCAGTTTTGGAATCACTCGTCATTGTGATACACAAGTAGTCTGCATGGACTGTAGAATTGTCGCTGCCATGGAAGGACTGATGACAGATGTACAATAGCAACCTTAGGAAGAATTTCAGTATCTGTCAGATGCATGNTCCATATTGTTTAGGTACACGTTAGCTGATGATGTATGTTCGTGACAAAAAAATACGTGACACTCGCCTTATTCGTGAAAATTTTTTATTATTATATTTTGATAGATTTTTCTTTGCTGTTGTTTTTAACTTCTTTCCCCTACTTTACAACCATAATCAAATTACTTCTCAGAAATTTTTATATAAAAACACAGAAATAATTGCAAAAAATTATAAAATGTGTATTTAAGAGCAATCGCCTGTATTAATAAATTAAGAAGAGATTTCTAAACTGGACGTTTGTGTGTATATATATATATATTTTTTAAATGTAATTTTTCTTCAGCTGTCATGCAACAATTTCAGACACACCCATGTTAACGTTGTAGCTGTAAGATGATTTGTAAAATCATTGTATAGATTGAAAAAGCGGAGAAGGAAAAATTGAAATAATGGACTTCCAGTTCACATTGGAAGTTTGTATATAGTTAATTGGGGTCTCCTGCCCCTAAGGTTTCCTTATCTGATGTAGAAGATACAAATATAAATATACAAGCAATTATTTATTGTGACCATCATTACAATGCTGGGCTGCAATTTTTATCATATTTTTAATTAATTTATTTAATTTAAAATATATGCTCTCCACCACAAATTAGTAGTGGCTTTCTCCTGTATATCATACTTTTCCTTTAACAATAGAGTTGAGGTGGTCATCTTACTAACACCTTTCAGGGGAAAATTTTTGAATTGAAATAATGGACTTCCAGTTCACATTGGAAGTTTGTATATAGTTAATTGGGGTCTCCTGCCCCTAAGGTTTCCTTATCTGATCTCATCTTTCATCCATCTAACTCAAATTTTGAATAACATGTAATTTTTCGTTAATATTTGTCACTGATAGTTAAAGGTTTTGTTTTATGTGATTACCTCCAGTGATTTGGAAAAGAAGATAGTTTTATAAATAAATATTATAAAGTCTCTGTAAATCCGCACGAAAAATATATAAACTATATATATAAACAAATGCTGTGTGATAGTCTACCGCTAAACCGAAAATTTATATATTTNAAAATGCATTAAATGGAAAAAAAATTAGTCTGATAAATGTTTGAGTACATCAGATTTTATAGAACAAAAGATAAAATATCTAGTATATTTTATATATCTAGTTGATATGCTTTGATTCAGATATTAAATTTATCTTTAAGTAATTAATAATACATTTTTTGTTATAACTTAAAGCAAAATAAATAATATGAGTGCAAAATTAGTTTATTTTTAATGAAATATTAGAATTTGTTTTTGTTTTTGAAGTGTAAAGTGAAGTTGTCCAACATATGTTTCAGATTATGTTTCTGATAATTGTATATCACATATGTAAATGTAGATCTTTATGAATTAAAATCAGTTTGCATATAGAAATATATTAAAATTTGGATGGTTTATGTTCCATAAATATATAAAATAGTCACTGATATTACAGATTTCTGTTTCTTTTATGTAAATAGTTATTTTAAAAGCTCTCTTACTAATAATTTCACACCAATAATAGTAAATGTAGTATAGTTTTAATTATACTTGAACATTTTTGGTCATTTTTAATGACTTTCCACAAGGAAGAAAAATACATTCTCAAAAATACAAGGAAAATGTCTTTTTCTTCCTTGAAAAAAATCATTAAAAATTATCAAAATGTTAGAGTGTAATTAAAATTTAAAGCATTTAAAGGTGTTGATGTGACATTATTAGTATTATCACAAGTGTAGTTTCTGAAGTAGTTAAAGTTTTCTTAATTTTAATACAGGGTCTTCTAAAATAAGTGTTATTATTTTTAATTACTGTAATATGTTAATTATTATTCAAGAAGTATGCAACATACACCATCAATAGAATAACTATCTGAGTTTTGTTTCTACATTCAAACATCTTGTCTATCTTTAGGAAGTGTCATAAATGAAAATTGTGACTCCTCAACAGAGAAGGGGTGTTTTGCATTTTGCAGTTTTGGAATCACTCGTCATTGTGATACACAAGTAGTCTGCATGGACTGTAGAATTGTCGCTGCCATGGAAGGACTGATGACAGATGTACAATAGCAACCTTAGGAAGAATTTCAGTATCTGTCAGATGCATGCTTTGTGAAGTGCAGGCATTAAGAAATTATAATGGGCAAATGTGAAACTCAGACAGTTTGAAATGTATATTATAACATTCTTGGCTAATAATTAACATACTTATAGTAATTTAAAATGAAATATATAATAAAAATTTACATTGATTGTTTGAGGAAATTAACTAAACTACACTTTACAATACCTGTAAAGTACTGTTATGTATAGCAGTAAAAAAATAGAGCACTAAAATAGACACTATACAGAGCATTAAAAAATATAAGTTAATATTAGTAATTACAATCTTTTGCTTTCTTTAATCAGTGAGTCAATTTTTTTATGACTTATTTGTTACATATGGCATATTGTTTTATATAATGATAAGTATATTTATATAAATTTTAAGTATTAGTTCATAAATTTCAAAACACACAGAGAAATAAAGTTCAGCATATTTGGAATATTATATTTAATTTTTATATGTACAGCAAGACCCTGCTTAACGCTGATTCGATATAACATGGTCTTCTCAAAGCCTTAAAAAAAGCTCAAAATTTATGCTAATTTAAATTATCATGGTATTTCATTGATTTGTATATATTATGATTATTTGCAAACACAAACCAATCATCAAAAGGTGGCAAAAAGGTGTACTTTCATTAAATCTATGTTTGTTTGGTGCAATTTTGGAAAAAAATATAACATCATGGATGCCAGTTAATTCTTGCCAAGCAAAGCTGATATTGCCAATATCGGCTTTGTTTGGCAAGAATTAACTGATAAATGCACGAACGAAGTGTGGAAAAAGTTATGGCTGAAGGTATCCAAGAATTCTCAGTGCGAAGAGCCTATCGTTGTATTGTTAGGTTGACTAAACTCAACCTAATCGATATAGCAAGACTAGGAGATGTAGATGAGCAGGATATTGGGGAGTTAGGCCAAGATTCCACTAGCATAAAAACGGGCGTAAAACCCCTCACTGTAAAAGCTTTTAATTATGTGACCTATTTGCATTTGCATCTGGATTGTGGTGGAGGTCTGGCTAACGAAGTTTTTATGGCGACGGTGATGCTCCAAGTGTCAGAAATAAATACGTCTTCACATGTGAATTGGTGGAAATGGAAGACGGTTGTATATGTGATATATGGATATAAAGACAATGATTATATTCTACGAGTTTTTTCTGTACTATAATTACAAATGTAGTAAAAATATCATCTTTATTTTCATATATTAACTTTTATTATCATATTATTAAGATAATATACAGCACTTATAAACTTAGCTTTTTTATTATATACTCCTTTAAATTAAAGGATTTTCCTTTGGATGTCCATATTGCGTGTTTTAGGCATCCATTATTATAATCAGGAAACCTCTTGTCATAGATACACGAATACTTTTGGATGTTTTTGATAAATCTTTCCAGATCTATTCTAGGGTAGCCACGAGGGAACATACAGTACACAAAAGCTTGTTTTGCGCAATTTTAGCACCGTGTCACAATGACATAGATTTCACTGATTGGTGGAAGGTACCATTTTACAGCTGTATTCACGTCGAAAGTTGAACACCTGCTCAACTCACTTTTATACTGGTTTTATGACCTGCTCAGGTGTAAAATATCAGGGTCATGTGATTAAAAGCTTTTACAGCAAGGGGTTTTACGCCGTTTTTACAGTAGTGGAGTCTCGGCCTTACAGCAGGTTTCTAGTGAGAGCCTTACCAATGACGACCTTCAAGAACTGGCAGAACATGGAATTCATGTGGAACTGGAAAATAGAGATTCTGAAAAATAAGATCCCAAAAAGTTCTCTACAGATTTCCTTAGTAAAATTTTTTGTAACGATAACCAAAATCGTTGATCAAATTGTAACAAATGATCCAGATTTTGAAAGGAGTGCAAAAGCAAAACGAGGCATTTTGGATGCGATCTTCTACTACTGACATTTTCTTAAGGAAAGAAAAAAGCGACAAATGAAACTTATGACTTTATTGCAAAAGAACAAGAATTTCAGAAAGGTCAGGACCTTCATCACAAAAAATGAACTTTACATTTCTGCATTCATATGTTTATGTATTATTTAACATATATTATTATACAAATTAATATAAAAATAACTTAGAATTAAAGTAAAATTTGTTTATTTTTGGCTGTGTGTTCCCCTATCCCTATTTACTCTGTTAAAATGACCTTGTTTAACACTGTTTCGCTTAGTGCTTTGTTGTCTAGGAATGCATTCCCTGCGTTAAGCGGGATCTTACTGTATAATAAGATTTTATTATTATTATTAATTAATATTAGATAAAGGGTGCAGAAATCATAAATGTATGATACCTATTTTTTTTCAATAATCTACGGAATAGAATACAAAATAATAATTTTTAATATTTTTGGAATTTTTAGTTGCAATAAACAGAATGAAAAACTTAATATAAAATTATCTTATAGAACAATTACATGTTAATATAGGTTTGTTTTATTAATAATCAGCTATTGAAGCTCCAAAAATATTTTACAATTCATTTATCATTATCTAATTTCTTACAGGTGATTCTAATAATAATCTGATGGCCAAATTAATTAGATATTTGGAAGAAAAATGCCATCCTCACCCAGAATTTCATCTAGTCCAATGCTTCCTGTGCAATTAGTCTATGGCACAGCTGCTTTTGTGGTCACTTTTTTGATTATTAATCATAATGAAACAACTATAAGAGATGATCAGAGATCCGAAGTTTTTGGATGGTTAAAAGACATTGGAATCGCAAAATATAGAAAAGAGATTTACGGAAATGGTGAGTATTTAAAAAAGTTTTAAATTTATATATATTTGTCATGCTAGTAAGCTTGTATCTTACTTTTTTTTAATTACAGTATTTTTAATGCAAATTTTGTATCAATATATTATAGTAAATTTAAATTAAATGGTTATATACCACAAAATGGGTTTTACTGATTCTATGTCATTTGATTTTTACATTGTTTTTCTATTACTGTATTTACACTATACATTTAATAATTGATCTGATAACTGTGCAATAATTGGGTTTTTATTTTATTTCAATTGAATTGCCATAATTTATCACAGATAGATTTTTTGGTTATTACTCCTCATTTTTTCCCTATTGATCAACCCCAATGCAGATGATGTTTATGTCATGAGTGAAATTTGATTGACTATTTAATGTTTAATGCTGGTACTTCACATTGACAAGAGAGTTAATCAATTTAATAACCCTCTTCACACACACACACACACACACTTTTCCAGTAGACTGTCTAAAACAGGTTTTTATTTTGCTTTTAAGAGCAGCATTAAAAGCTAAATTTAATGATTTTAGTTGTTATTGATCATAATATTGTCAAGAATGAATGAAAGCAACAGAATTTACAGTTAATATTGAACAAATTGAAAAATATAAGGACTTGGTAAACCTCTACATCCAAAGGACATCGGGATGAAATCAACACATACCTTGAACCTTACATAAATTATATAGAATTACAAAGAAGAACTGAATTTGTCCATTGCATGGCAGGCCCTCATGGATACCGATCTTTAATTGCTGACTACCTGCATAGAATGCGCATGTCCAACGCAACGATTTTGCACGAGACATGGATTTGATTCTATTTTAAATATTCATGTTCTATTTTTGTTCTATGTTCCATTGTTTATTTTTTCTATTGTCTGAGGAAGAACTATTAATGTTTGAAGACGTTTGCAATATATTTATCCGTCATATCACCCACATCGGTAACAGGTTCAAGGTACGTGTTAAATATAAGGACTTTAAATGTGTTAAAACAAAACTAAGATAAAGATAAAAAATAAATAAATAAATTTAAAGTGAAATTTTTACATAATATAATATAAAATAAATAAATAAAAGTAAGCATGAATACATAACAATGTATAAAAAAAAAGTAATCTTTAAAATATTGTAAACAATACATATTGACCCTTATTTATAAGTAAATATGGAAGTTTGATAACTTACATATTTACTTGTATTGTTTTATTTCATCTAAGTTTTTTTACATTGCTGAATAACTTAAGCAGCACTTATTTATTTTATTTCATTTACAATCATTGATTGACAAGTAAAAAGGTGTTTTGTAGCACTTTAATAATATTTAAGGAACATGCATAAGGTGACTGGGTTATGCTGGAATGATACAAATTTTGACCATAAGAAATAATGGAAGAAACTTTGATATTTTGATTTATGAGAAGTTTTCTGGAGTGAGGTAGACCCATAAATCAGGGTCAAACTGTATTGGTTAAGTAAAATTCTAATCAAAGCATTCTGAATTTAAAAAAATAAATTCATAATTATAGAAATTATTCAACAAAATTGTAATGGTTTGTTTACAGGCTTAACTGTTATATGAGTAAGGTTTCCTACACAAAATCTGTTTAGAATCAGAATTAATACATCATTGTTGTTTCAAAGCTAACTATCTGAAATCCACATTTTTGAAGATGTTGAAAATGTTGAAATTTTATTTTATTATTAAAGCATAATCTATTTAGCACAAAGTACTAGTTTAAATATCTTTATGATTTATACTTACTTGTGTTTGCTATAGTAAAGTGGTGTTGACAGCTTGTGTAAAGATAAATATTATGACAACTAGGCAAATTCATATTCATATACTAGAGCATGGGTTGGCCATCTTTCGGCGGTGTTATTCCAAACCTAAGTTATAATGTTATTCCGGGTGTCACCATGATTCTACCAGTTTTGTTATAAGTAGTATCAAAATTAGTCCGGTTATAATGGACTTCAAAAATTAATAATTTAAATTTAATTTTTACTAATTTCTATTCAATCAAAGTGCCACTGAAAATCATCCCAAGTGTTATAGGTTGCTGACCCCTGTACTAGAGCATTAAAATGCTATTAATAAATGGCAGATGGATACAGAGCTTTCTAAGTATATATTAAAAGATGGATACACACCACAATGGGAAGATGTCTGTTAAAACATGTTTTTCATTAGAAATATGTTTTTATTTGTGAAACCTTATTAATTATGAAACACAACTCCTTTAACCGGTTGGAATATTATCCACTGGATCATTGGCTTATTATAATCTTACACTAGGCTAAATTTTCCTTTGCCTATATTTTTCATATTGTTATAGTTTTAGTTTCTATAATTTTATCATTTTTATGTAAAAGTCATTATTTGTATTCGCTTAGCATACAAGTGAATATTAAAAAAAAAATATTTTGTTCTAAATGCTTTCATTTTATTTTTACTTTACCTGAGGAACATATTTTGTATATGTCAAAAACATTTGTATTATGAAAAAGACAGTTAATGCTGAAAAAATTGATTTTTATTAGATATTATGATAAATGAGATAAAAAGTAATAATTCAGATAAATACTATAATAATATAAAAATTCCTTGTAACAGGATAATAGTTTGATGTTACATAATCAGGGACAAAACATTTTAACTAACATACCTAGTTAATTATGAATTTATTCAAACACTTCACATAGTATGTTAGAATGAAGTTATTTTTACTTATTTTTTCCCTTTTGAGTGAAATGGAATGGTCTCTATTGAGTTTGATCTGTAATGAATGGTTATATGTCTATAATAATTTAGTTTAACCTGCGCAATGTTTTTTTTTTCGTTTTACGTTGGAATTAATTTGAATTTTTAAAGTTTTTGTTTTGCTTGCATTCTATTTTTGGCATTCTTTTGTTTTGAGTTTGATTAACTGAAGAAGGCTATTAAAAATAGTTGAAAATGTTTTTATTTTATTAAATAATTTTTGCTGGAAATATTAAGGTGTTGTTTATGTTGTACATGAAGAACAATTTTTTAATAATAACAAACACTAATATAACAGTTTCAGCTAAATTAACCGAGAACTGTTTATCTGTAAGATGGACATACTGGTACATACATTTCAAATATTTGAATTACATAAGGCTGAGTGCAAAAATAGAACATGCTTTTATGTTTTTTTAGTAAGCTGATGCTATATTTTATTTTATGTTAATATATGAACCTGATGATGATTCAAGTAAGATTGAAAATATTTACTATATAAAGTTATTGGATGGTTTTCCAGGTTGTTTGTTTATTATAATTCATAATCATTTTCTTTTAGTTGAAAATTAAGTACAGTGGATAACTGAAAAATAGTGTGCTGGTGACAGCGTATCAGAAGCAATTATTTGCGAGAAAGCTAAAAAAGATACATGCTGATCTCATGAAAAATCAAGCAGGAACTAGCCAGGAAAGCGAGGTGTTTAAAGCCAGCCATTTTTTTCATGAGAACGGATTAATCATTTTTACATTACTTGTTATGGGAAAGGTTGGTTTGGTATACGTCCTATTCGGTATAAGTCCAAACACCAGGAACGGATTACGGTCTTATACCGAAGTTCTACTGTATATAAACAAAAGTTTTGTAAGATAGATTCAAGTCAAACTCAGTACTTATTATATTAAATCTGATATTATTTTCTTAAGTAGAGATGCATGATTGAATTTTGTTTTCATATGCTCATCTTTGTTAAAGTAGTTAAATTGAATAGAATACAACATATTTATTGTTATGATGGGTCCATAGAAATTCATTATTAGGAAACTTGAAAACATTAGAGAAGAGAATGATATCACAAAAAGCTGTAAATTATCCTTTCATATATGCTTATTTATTAAAAATTATACTTATTTTTTTATGTTTACACCACTTATTTGTATTTAAGAGAATTAATAAAAATAAAAACATTGCAATATTGATGTGTGGGAAAAAATATACTTTTATATTTATTTTTATATGAAATCAAAATATATTTTTTTTTATATACATTTTTAACACAACACAGAACTCTCACAAAAATTAATCTACAAATTATAGACTTTAATTTGAATTGCAAATTAATATTGATGATGATGGATGAGATTTCCTTGTCATCAGAAAGTTGTTGCAATTTCAGAACAGTATATTTATTATAACAAGATTTTGTCACATCATATTTTATTCATTTAACCTTAAAATGCTTTTATAATAGATACATTTTTGTAAAGGTCCTTAATTCAAAATTTGTAGGTATTCTAATTGGATGACATTGCATTAATGAAATTTACCAAATGATTATTTTGTCATGTATGAAACATTTTCACAACTATTGTCAAAGACATTCAAAATAGAAATATAATTTTTTAAAAACTATGTTTCAATATGACAAATTAGTTCTGAAATGATTAAAAGGTATGTATTTGTGACAGATCTGTTCTTCTAGACAATCTGTTATAGATCTTTAGCTTTTATCATCCATAATATACAAGTATATGTAAATAAACAAAGTAATAAAAAAAGTAATAAAAAAAGCATTTTCAGCTTGCAGCTCAATTAATTAAGTTGTTAAGCAGAGAATGGTTAGATGTTTATATGAAAATGTTTCTTTTAATGAATGTTGAGTACCTGAACTGAATCATTAGTTAGTTTATGTGTTGATATAGTGTCAAGTTTTGTGAACTTCTATGAAACGTATATGATACCATCTTGTTGTTGAAAACAACAAAAAATATGGTATTCATTCAATTAAAAGTTAATTTAATCTAAGTAAACAAATAAATATTAGCTTAATATAATGTTCAAATAAGGGCAACTTAAGCTTTTTTTTTTTGAAGGAGAGGCTTAAATTGAGTAATTGTCTGCACAATAAACAGAACATAGATCAGCTGTTTAATGTAAATTTTATATTACTTATATTAATTTCAGTTTATACAATTTAATTGCCTAATTATATATGTT